CCCCCCCCCCCGCTCGCCCCGCCTCCCCCCACCCCCATCCCAACCACGATGACTCCCCATGTCAGGTCGCCAGCGCGCTCGTGAAGAGACTAGGGACAGGAAAGCCGCTGCAGCCAGCCGCTTTCGACGAGTTCAGCGACGCGGTGGACCGTGTGTTGGAGTCGACGGCCGGTGCCCGCTGACAGGCTCCGGCACCACTCCCTCCCCCAATAGCCAGCGTTTGGTTGCGGAAGAGAAGGGCTATGTTGATTCTCGGTTTTTGTGGACTGTCTTTGTTTTTTTTCTACTGCAAGTACAATTTTTCATGGGACATGTTGAGCTGGCTCAGGCGACACACCATGGCCTCCCCCTAGAGCCAGCGTCATCAACAGCGAGCACGCATGCTGTATTCGTGGACATACTTAGCCGTCCGCACCAGATTTCCGTGAGACGCGGACGCCTGCATAAGCTCAGGCTCCAGACCTTCTTAAGAATCGGGTTATGGGAAGGGTCTCACTACCGTCCTCGCTTCTCGGGCGAGGGGCATGGCGAGGAGCATGGCGAGGCGGCGTGTCGGCCTGCTTTCAGTGGTATGTGGCCACGTCGCTTGGCCCTTACGGAACCCGCCCGGGCCCACAGGGCGGCGCGGAACCTTGCTCGCGTCTGCGGTAGTAACGAGTCCGGCGTTTGCTGCTTCCGAGACTGTCTTACTCATGGCGCTCAGACAACAGTAGTGGGCATGCGTGGAAATCCTCTGCTTTAGGAAATTCGGGGATGAAACGGGCCAGGAACAACCTTCAAGAATACCGCGGTCGTACCTGCAGCAGTAGGAGTGGCGCGTTAGGGTTGACGTGACGTGGTCGCTGTTTCCATTTTGGCGCAAACCGGCTTTTGAGAGAGAGCGGGACCGTTGGTGAGCCACGTTTGTTGGTGGGGTTCATGCACCTCGTGGAGCAGCGAGGGCCGTTGCTTATCCGACAAGGTAGTGATGGTTCTGCTTCTACTACGGCACCGCGGTGTGGTTGTTTTACATCCATCGGTCTCCGTACACGACGATATGTACTTATTTCATCTCTTCGTAAAGGCGTTCGTGGTATCATCATATGCACACAATACTGCACGTACTTCAATTGTTTTTCGCAGCCCGGAATGCAAGCGATACGCACATTACCTCCACATAATTGCGTTGCGCGGTTTGGTATCCTTGTAGATGTTAAGGCGCCATATAGACACACAAAACCGTGGCACATGTACAACATTCACCTGACCCATCGCGAAGTAATACTCCCACACCACTAACATTACGAAATCGAAACTAGAAAAGGTCAGAGGGAAACAGTAATCACTCAATCGGGTTATCGTGACAATGATTTCAAGACGCAAAATCACGAGCCAATACATATTTTGGAACGTTCGGCCCTCCTCGGGCACCGGGAACTGCGCAATCAACCACCGACAAGTCGAGGGGGAGAGATGGTCGTTATCGCCGCTTCGAGTCGGAAAGATGGAAAGAATATCGTCAGGGAGCCATATATAAATGCGCACGACACAAAACAACGATGATAAATACGTTCGTAACGGCTTTGTGGAGCAGAAAAGCTCCTCACCAGCGTCCTACAATTCACGACTAGACTACTTTCTAATACGAAGCAGAGAGTCAGAACCATCGCCACACTCGGTTATTGTCCAGCACGGAGGGATCTGGAAAGGGACGAAAAGGAAAGAGAGCAAAACACTCGTCTTCCGGGGGGTCGTCGGAGATGTGCTCCTCTGTACCCCGCACCCTCCATACATCTTTTCCTGCGGAACCGCCCCTGACACACTTGCGCAAAATCGTCCCCTGCCTGTAGGGGCGGAGGCAGTCGACCGGCATTTTTTGAACCGCGCGCCAGACAGCAAGGGCCTCAAGCCGGCTGCTGCATCATCACGCCCCGGCGGTAGCAGACGTCCACGCAAGCCCAACCAAGCCGGCAGTTTCGGCGCAACATTTTCGGCTGCAACAACCGCACGTTTCGGCGTGCTCTGTTGTGTCATGGGCCTACCGGTGGAGTTGCGGTGGTGGCAATCCCTATGCTCAATCCACCTTTTCTCTCCCCGCCACAGCAGCGCCGTCGCCGCCCCCGCCCCCGCCGCCGTTTTCTCGCTGTTGCTGCTGCACCTTCCTAAACTCTGAAATAAACCTGCGAATCAACAAGCGGAGCCAAACGTGGAGGTAACGGGCGCGTGATAAGTCATACGACTGTACATGTACAGATTTGCAAATGCTTATCTTTGGCTCGTTTCGGTTCGCTGGGCTATTCGGGAGAAAAATACACGTCAGCTGTATTAGCCGTTGATCTTGGGAAACACCATCGCAAGCTGGCAGCAAGCCGTGGATTGGTCCCGCTGCCTGCTTTTGCTTTCATCTTGCACCGCCCCTTGATGACGCCGAGCGCCCACTCCCGAGGGAAAATTCGCACGACCTAGTCAAATGGGTGTTCAGCTTGCTGGGGTTGGTGCCATCTCGTAGATGCTTCCACCCAGCCGTAGATGCCTCCAAGCGGCCGGGAACAGGTGCGAGAGAACCGGCTAGCCACTCACCAACCACCAAGGTACGAGAGATAGAGACCCCGACAGCGATCCACTCATGTCAAGAAGAGCAACGTTCATCGAACGCTTCGGGAACCAAGAAGAATACTGCCAACAAGCAGACAGATGCCGCGACCAGCAGGTCTGCAGGCCGTGAAACGCGATCACTACATTGCGTTGCCGACGTTCGACTCGCCCCCAGCCCCCCCCCCCGGTGTTGTCATCGGGGTTGGGTTTTCGTCGCTTGGCAACGACGTTGTAAAACAAGCCATTTCACTTCGTGAACTCGGCAACCAGGTTACCGTTTGCTTTTTTCACCTCGGTTTTTTTTTGGGCGGTAACCATAATGGTGGTCGAGTAGATAATGTTGTTCGGGGTGGAGAACCCTCGCTCCGCGCAAGGGGAATGATCGCACCAAGTTGTGTTAATATGGTCACGCATCCTCGAGGCAGTTACACAGTGCTTACAACTGTCTCTGGAAGTGAAAGCACCAACAAATAAATTACGTCATACGCAGCTTTCATCCGTATGCAAGGAAGTAAGCACAAGATACCGAATACCCTTAGCAGGATGCAGCGCACCCTTCATGCGACTCGCCGAAAATCTCACGGCGCTTCGCGCTTGGCGATATGACGGCCTGGTCCGGTGAGACCGTGCTCCGTCCCGGCTTTGTAGGGATGCGAGGTCAATGGTCTAGTGACTACGGCATACACGACCATGAGTATAACCCCCCCACGCTATTGAGTCAAAGCCTGTCGGCCAGCCAACAAATCAGCCTTTCCGGTTGGATTTTCGATTGGCATGAGAGCCCCCGCCGGCGCTGCGACTGTCGTCCCACCCCACTCTACTCCAGTCTAGATCGACCCCTGGCAACTCGAAAGCACGATTTTTTTTTATCCCCGTGAAGGACAAACACGGCCTACAGATAGCGCCAGTATGTAAGACTTTAGGAGTTAAGAACTTCGTGCAAGACACAATCAAACCATTTCGGCTGATACATGCGCTGTGGAGGCCGTTACGGCCGGCATCGTAGGCGGGGGAGGCGGCGGGGGAGGCAAAGCGGGGTCCTCATTTTTTTTTTTGACAAGTCAAACAAGGACAACACTTTTCCGTGAACATTATCAACATGATCAACACGCCTTTTACCAGTTGACGGAGCCCATCAACCCGATCGACAGGAAGCCCATGACGTACACGTGGATGCTTCCCTCTCCGGAGGCCGCCACATACACCAGGAGGGCCACGAGGATGCAGAGCACGCCGTTGATGAAAGGAACCTGTTGTTAAGCAAGGGGACATCAAACGGTGAAAATATCACTGACAATGGCCTTGAGACTGAAAATTGAGTGTTGAGGCTTAACAACAGACTCGAGATAAGCCCAGTTTATATCACCACTCACTGCAACGACTTTCAAGACGTCCCGTTCGCCTGCTGTGGTGTCATCTCGAAAGGCTATCCTTTGAGTGATTTGTGTGCAATTGTTCTCAAAATAACGGCCGAAGACGACACGTACTGCAAAAAATTTCAAGACGTTCGTTCGACTGCTGTGATGTCATCTCGAACGGCTATTAGTCTGTGAGTGATCGTATGCAAATTTCTAAAAGATGAACGACGGAAGACACACGGCGCCGTGAGCGCGTCAGTAGGACTTGGCTTAGCGTCCGGTTGTCTAGGCAGCGGTAGGTCGTTTACGCCGCACTTGTAGAGGATTAGGGTGGAATACCTACATCTATTTATCCTCAGGTTCTATGGAATTTAGTGTGTAAACAATTTATGCATGCGTTGTTGTGTAGGATTTAGAAGCTTTATATTTAAACCAACAAGTCCCGGTACAATACTAGGTAGGGGGGGTACTGAGCTGCGTGGTGCGAGTCAATACCTTGCACGAGTCTTATCTGCGATGCTGATGGTGCACGAATCCCGACACACACCAGCGTGAATCGTTTGTGGTGCAGCTACGCGTGCACCACAGAGAGACAACAGGCGTGCGACGGGAGCGACGATGTTTGATCGTATTTGCGGCCACCGTTCAAAAATTTGCACATTACATGCGGTTGTTTCTTTTCCGTTTTGATGCGCATGCACGAAGAAACAAAATGTGAAGTCTTCCCGCTGTGCGGACGCAAACACGCACATCTGGACATCTGGTAGAAGCACGCATGCGGCATACACCTTGCGGCGAGCGTATCACACATCACACCGTCGAGAAGCACGACCAGCATCGTAGACATAGGATTGTGACACGATTAAGGACGAGACTATTGCGTCAGGCTCACAACTTGCCCGCCATTTAGTCTCAAGCGTTCCGAGTTTCCCGCTAAGTGAAAACATTTGTAAGCAGTCCAGCATGAACCAAAAACAACAAAGCCGTAGATGGTCATGACGTCATGACTTCGTTGCACCAGGCCCTGCAGCAGCAACAACAACAGCATCCAGGGCACGGCTTCTGCGAAGACAGTCAGTAGCGCGGCGCAAGCACGCAATCTGAACCGATCCCGCGGGGAACCATCCCGATAAAGCGCAGCAGCAGCAGTAGACCCTCACGCCCTCGACGGATTCTCTCGATGATGGGATAGGTGTGATCTGGACTTGGGAAGGTAGGTGTGTTATTTGTGTGTTCAATCAATTGTGACCATCGGTCTGCTCTTGTTGAAGCAGTCGGTTGGAACCACTCAACATCAAACGACACCCGCCAGGTTACACATGGCGCATGCCTAGAGAATACCCACGGTGCACAGGTCGTTTAGGCCCGGCCGGCCCCTCCAGGTTTTCATAGCTGGTATCAGACTAGCGTCTCAGCGGTGATGCGTTCGTTGGTGGTGTTCTTGCGTCTCTGTCGGTGTTTCTTGTCCCGTCTGAATAGCGCGCGAGAGATCTCCGCTTTTTTGTTCACGCCTTTTCGCGTGGAAACCCCGGGGTTGGGCAGCAACATCGCCTACGAAAGTTGGGTACATAAGCTTGTGAAGTACGGCCATCTGCTGCCGAAGCACGACCAAACCGGTGTGACGAAGAGCGCGCTATTTTTCTTCTTCCTCAGAAGCGAACACATCGTCAATCGGTGCTCTATAGATCTCGTTCTGGTCCCAAAGGTGGGCTATAGCGGCTTCCCGGAAACCCAGTCTTGGGGCCCCTGTATCGCGCGGCGCAACTTTGGTCGATACATAGGAGCCTTTTGTTCCCTCCTGGAGACGAAGGGAAAAAAAGTCGCGCTTCGCGCTCTGCGGCTCATCGTTGAGTTTTAGAATGCGACACATAAGCCTACAGGATAAGAGCATGGCTATACTCAAACCAATACACCCACGTATCACTAGGGTCTTAGAATGCCATACTACAGCCTGTCGTATCAAAGCATAACCATCCTTCAACCAGTTGCTCTCCAGCAATGCATGCGTTTCGAATGCGACC